ATGTATAAATATAGTATTGTAAATATATAATTTAATATTAAGGCATTTTTGCTTTACACAACCGGTTTTAACCTCTCGTCACCCTTATTCACCAGAGGTGGCCATGATACGATCGTACACTTGGGGGGTAGCTTAAGGACTGTGAATGGCTCTTTTACTACGGTGAATGGGACTTTCCTTACTCCCTTGTACCATGCCCACAAGCAAATACACTATCTTGATCATGGTACAAGGGAGTAGGGAAAATTCCATTCACCGTAGTAAAAAGCCATTCACAGTCCTTAACCTACCACCCAAGTATACGTTCACAATAAGAAAGCGAAAATGCTATAATATTAAATTATAAATTTATGGTACTATATTTGTACATTTATAAATACTATTTTCAATTTTTGATATAGATCAAAGTTTATAGCTGTTATCAAAAAATTAATTATACCTCCTTCATGATACAGATAAATATGATATATATTTTTAAGCGATAGCTTATTCAAGGACAAATTGGAAATTATATTTGACAACGAGTGGACCATAAGAGATAACTATTGTGGAAAAGTTTGGTATTACATATCATAATAATTCGACTGAACAGTAAAACACGATTTTTTACTGTAAGATAAATTAAGAGATAATTATAATGCCATGTTTCCTATATTTTAAGAATAAATTTTTGTACTCACAAACTACATACACGTTTTATATGTCAGAATTTAGCTACACGCCGTCGATCAGGGATCCTACGCGTTCAAAAATGGAGTGTTTAAGCATGCTAACTGATTTACCATATTATTTTTCAGTTCTATGCTAAGTTTCGAAATAAAAAGGATTCTTAAATTTTTTTTTTAATTGCAAATTTGAATATAGTAGTAAAACGTAGTTTAAATTAGCTTACGCAACACTCTTTTGCTATGCTCAATAGCAATACTGGCATAATATTTGAAAACAAAAAAAATGTTTGTTCGAAGTATATTCCGTTTGAAATTATCCTAATCGATAATAACTTGTTTGGCCCAAATAAAAATACAATTCAAATTCCTTAATTTTTAATAGCGGTTCATTATTAACCAAATTACATTTATTTGTTATTAAGGTTTAATTATGAATTTCCAAATCGTTCATAATCGACTATATAATTCTCTAGATGTAAAGACGAATTGTAGTTCGCGTAGATGCAAATGCTTCTTTTCAAATCGCTCTTTGGCCACCAACGCCACCAACTTTCAATTGACGAGTGTGTTTATTATTTGCTTGGCTGTTGTTGTTAGCCTTGTTGTTATTATAGTAGTTTTATGCAAACATACGTAGTTCTTCCCGATGTTCTATCGGTTTTGGTGAAACTGCTGCGCAGATCAATTGCACACCCAAACGACATCGGTAATACATTCGCGATCGATGCGTTCCATATGTAGCTCACCAATAGGTTGCCCAGGACAGATAGGCCCATGCCCGGTTTCACAGTCCATACTTAAGTTGTGCCTAAATGAAATCTTAGTTAAGTATTGTTGCAAACTGTGTAGTCGTTTGCGTTTCACAGTCAATGCTTAATTTCTATAAAATTTTATTATGATATATGGCAACGTTGTGGGCAACATATGTTTTACAAATGTCATCCACAAACATATGATTGAAATATTTAAATTATTATAGACAACGTATAAATTTGGAAGGAAAGTTATTTCGTAAATGGATGAAACCCAGAAAAGGACCCCGAATTT